CTCTACCACTTGAGCCACAGCGCCACTTCTGGCTTTTTTCTTTTTTCTTATGTGGTGCTGAGGAATTGAACCCAGGGCCTTGAGCATGCAAGGCAAGTGCTCTACCACTGAGCCACCTTCCCAGCCCAAACCCGGCTGAATATTCTTAAAGTTAGATTGTGGTGATAGTTACAAAACTATTCAATTTACTAAAAGCCACTGAATTTTAATAATAAATAAAATTAAAAACTGGATTGTGGTGATAGTTACAGAACTACTTTACTAAAAGCTATTGAATGGTAAATAAATAAAATGAAAGCCTCAGCTTGGGTAGTGACTTAGGAATGGAAAGGCAAGAATAAAAATGTAAGAGGGCTGGGAATGTTCCTTAGTGGTAGAGTGCTTGCTTAGCATGCATGAAGCCCTGGGTTTGATTCCTTGGGAAAAAGCCAGAAGTAGTGCTGTGGCTCAAGTGGTAGAGTGCTAGCCTTTTGCAAAAGAAGCTCGGAACAGTGCCCAGGCCTCGAGATCAAGCCCAAGGCCTGGCAAAAAAACACCCCCAAAAAATGTCTTAAGAGAAAGAATTGGTAGGACTAGTTATGAGCTATAATAATTGGCGTAAGAAAAATAAAATGACTCATCTTCCTTGAAGGATGAGATGATGTTTTTTCTGTTAAATGGAGATTCAGAGTTTAGGCACTTAATATAGAACATTGTTTACAATGAGGCAAGTATAATTTGGAGGTGCACGCTAGATGCCCTGTAGACCTTGCCTTTCCTTTATCATACACACACATTGCTGAAAACTGGGTCATTTACAACCTTGGGAGTGGATGAAAACAGAGTGCGCAAAACTGCTTGAAATAAGTGTGGAAAGTATTTAGAATGACATAAACTGTTGCATGGACAAATTCTTGATTTAGGACATATTTCAGCTTACTCTCTAAATATATGGGCAATTTAAGTACCACGAGAAAAGTTTGAATAGAAACAAAATGGTTACTTCTTTTTATTGAGGCAAAATCTCACTATGGAAAAAAAGGCTTGCCTTGATCTTGAACTTGCCATCTTCAGGAAATGTTAGGATTACAACTAGGCACCAAGAAAGTTTGTTTAATTAGATTTTGTTGTTGTTGTTGGACAAGAGTTGAGATATTAATCTATCATCAGATGGGTAGAAGTAACATATAATTAGAAACAGCTATTACAAACACAATGAACGTTTCCTACTTAATCCTGGCAAAAGTCTGAACTAGTAAAAAAGGACCCAGAAGATGCAGACAACGAGCAGCTATGACTAATTTGAAAAGATTTCCTAACCAACCGGGCGTGGTGGCTCCAGCCCCGAAATCCCAGCACTCGCGAGGCTGACCCAGGAGGGAGTTCTCGGGCCGTCTACACGACAGGACCAGACCCTGCTCCAAAAACGAAACAAAACAAAGAAACACAAATTCCCCCACAGTCCCCGCCGGAGCATTCGCTGGGTGGTCTGGGTGGTCGGGTAGCAGAAGGCTGCGGGGCCCCTTCGAGGTGAGTGCGGTGTGGGCTGACCTCAGGCCGGGCACCTGCCGCCGTCGGCGCGCAGGAAGTGGGGGGGCGGAAGGGTCAAGGCCCCGTCTTTGTTTACTTCCACACTTCCTACCTTCACTGCGTACAGCTTGCCGCCTTTCTGCCCCAGATACACTTTCCCGAAAGCGCCACGGCTAATGGGTTTCACTATGGTGAATTCCTCAATGGAAGGAGGTCTTGGGACTGGGATCCTATTCACCGAGTGTTCACTCGCCGCGCCTCCTCCATTCCCCTCGTCCCCCGCCGCAGGCTCCATGGAAGGACAGCTACCTGACCCACCGAAGCAAGCCCCAGGCGGCCAAGGTGCCTCACCCTGTGGCAGCTCCCGCCAACAGGGTTCAAAGCGAAGCTCCGCCCCCCCAACGCGCGCCGTCCGTGGCGTCACCGCGCTACGCACCGCGCGAAGCCCCGCCCCATTCCGCCTCCCTTAAGTAGATGCTAGAGGACCCGGCCTGTGTGAGTGTGGCCTCGAGCCCCTGGAACATCTCGAGCTTTCTTCTGGCTCTCCACTGACATCTGTCGTGATGAGGGAGGGACTGCAAACAGTTCGTGGCCCAGGAGAAAAGGGACTTAAAATCTGAATCGCGAGATTTGTAAAGAACCTCCCAGCTTCCAAATGAGTCTGATGGGAACTTGTCCCAGTCAAGACCTGACTATTTTTCTTCCCTTCGCGATCTCCCACCCCCGCAAGAGTTGTAAACCAGTTTGGACTGTTCGGTAAAGCAATGGCCAAAGGTGCGGTTTGGAAGCTGCTGTCGTCACAGAATGTGGAGAAGCTGGATGAGCAGGAAGCAGGTGGCTGGCCCTGTACTCTTAACTTATCAAAGCATGTAATTTGCCTGAGTCAGACTAGGATCCCTGAGGATTTCCAGTTCATTATAAGGACGAAGAGTAATAAATTGTAGTTTAAAAAAAAAGAAAGCCACATTAGCCAAAGGATTAGTTGGAACACAGATTGGTTGGGGAAGTTCTAGAAAGGCTGGAAGGCTCGACGGGGTGAATGTCGATCCTCTTTAAAAGCTTAAAAAGAAAAAAAAACAACTACAAAACAACCCCAAAACTCTATCCAGTGTGTTTTGGGGACTCAGCAGAAACGTGAGGGCGCTACAACTTGGAGCGCTGACAAGTAGATGTGGGCGTTCACTTGCCCCGGAAGTACTGTTGCGTGAGAGCCTTTGACTTCCGGGTCACGGTCGTCGTAGCAGCCGTAGGGGAGGCCATCTTGCATTTCTGGGAGGAGTGAGGGGGGGGAAACGGGAGGGGAGCAAAGAAGGATCAAGCCGGAGGGCTCAGCGCCTCCCTGCCGGCCGAGGACACTGGGATAGTTTCGGCGAGGCGGGCGAGGCTGCTGAGGCTCCGGAGGAGATGTTTTCCCTGTCGAGCACCGTGCAGCCCCAGGTGAGCCCGGCCTCCCGTCCCTTTTCCTGCGACCCTGCCCGGGTCTTGTTTTCTAGCTGACTGGGTGGGGTCGGTTCCGAAGGGAACCTCTGTGGGAAGCGGAGAACCCAGTGGGGAGACCCGAGGCCCCGGTGGGGCCGGGGACGGAAAGGGCCGACCACCAAGCATCCGGGGCCGGGGCGTGAAGTCTGGGTGATGGAGCCCGTGGCTCACCGGGTTGATGGGAGTGTGATTTCTGCTGCTTTGTTCAGGGTTGGACATTCTGGGTTAGGGATTGGGGGGGGGCGGGGGGCGATGTGTACACCACGGATATAATGTTCTTTACATCCTTCCATCCGTTTGGTTTTTCAAAAACATCTCCCACAGCTCCCTCCCCCTACCTTTTAAATGGAACTTAACCAAACATGCCATATAACTGGAGTAATCACCGTGATTTTTTTAAAATTTTGGCCCAAATCGATTAAAATGATAATACATGTAAGTATTCGCATATACTTTTACTTATTTATTTGTTGTCGTTCACTTCTTGTAGTTATAATCTTGATCCAGCCCCACCCCCATTGTTTTGTAAAGCAAAAGATAGAGCAGAGGAAAATGGTTCCAGGGAGTTTTGATAAATTACCCATTCTCTTGAGAATCGCTTGTGACAATATTTTATTCCTGACTCATTTTTAAAAATCTTTTTTTATGGCACTTTTTTTTTTTAAGACAAACCTCTTGCAATGGTAGTCCAAGTGGTCTTGAATTCCTGATACTCTTGACTCAGCCTCAGGGCCTGGACACTGTCCCTGAGCTCTTTCACTTAAAACTAGTGCTCTTCCACTTTGAGTCACAGCACCACTTCCATTTTTCTGGCAGTTAATTGGAGACAAGAGTCTCATAGACTGTCCTGGCCAGGTTGGCTTCAAACCATGGTCTTTAGATCTCAGTTTCCTATTCAAGGCAGGTGCCACTGGCACCCAGTGGATTTTTTGTGAGGACTAGCTTTGAACCATAGTCATTGTATCTCAGCCTCCTTGAGGAACAGAATTATAAATGTGAGTCATCTTATTTTTTTTGTCATAGTACAGTATTCAGTAATAAAAGATGAAATGGTTATTTGTTGGGTAGCAGATAAAAGTAAGTGTAGCTTTAATATTAGTGATGCCAGGTAAAAATAAATGAATTAGCTGGGAGAACAGATATTTTAAGCATACAAGGACTATCAAAATTCTGAGTAAGGAAGGGGATTAATTAGAGGAACAAAAATAAGGCTATGATAGCTAATGTTTAAAGAGAGTAAAGTCAGAGATAAGATTGAAGTGAAACTTTTAAGACAAGAACTTGGGTTTTAACTGTGTTCAGAAACATTCAAGATCATAAACTGGACATTAGTGGCTTCTAGTCTTAAACCTGTAATCCTAGCTACTCAGGAGGCTGAGATCTGTAGTTCAAAGCCAGTCCTGTCAGGAAAAACCGTTCCCCAATTGGAACTGTGGCTTAAAATCTCAGGGACAGTGTCCAGGGCCAGTTTAAGCCCCAGGGCCAGCAAAAAAGCAAAAACAAACTAAACAAAAAAACATGATCTGGGCTGGGAAGGTGGCTCAGTGGTAGAGTGCTTGCCTTGCATGCATGAGGCCCTGGGTTCGATTCCTCAGCACCACATAAGCAGAACGGAAAAAGCCGGAAGTGGTGCTGTGGCTCAAGTGGTAGGGCGCTAGCCTTGAGCTGAAGAGCTGAGGGACAGCGCCCAGGCCCAGAGTTCAGGCCCCACGACCAGCAAAAAAAAAAAAAGCATGATCATGCTTTCAATTTCAGCAAATCGGCTGGGAATGTGGCTTAGAGCATGCATGAAGTCCTGAGTTCAATTCTTCATTACCACATAAACAGAAAAAGCCAGAGATGGAACTGTGGCTCAAGTGGTAGAGGACTAGCCTTAAGCAAAATCTCAGGGACAGTGCCTAGGCCCTGAATTCAAAGCCCCAAGACTGGCAAAAAAAAAAAAAAAAAATCAATAGATCACTCTGGTTTCTTGTTATGTGGACAATAATAATGTCAGAAGTGGAGTTAATTGTGATCAAGGATGCTATTGCCTCAGGAGAGGGATTACTTCACTAATATGTTAGTAATGATTATAGAAATACAGAGCTGTTTCTGGTTTGATCAGCTGGCTACAGGAAGATGCCATTCACCAGAATGAGTGTCTAGAGGAAAAGAAAAAGTTAGATACAAACTGTTGAATAGTATTAAACTGTTGGCAACTAAATTTATTACCTTAGTTCAAGGAGGCCTTTTTCAGAAGTTACTATGTCAGGATGGAAGATATCACATGATAAAAGAGCAAGAGGGAGAAACCCCACTTCTTTGCTGCATTAATATATTCATAAAGGCAAGATCCTTATGACCTACACTTTTCCCCCTTACTCCTTTTTGGCTTTTATTATGATTGTTTGTGTTATTGAGGGTTGAACTCAAGCCTTGAGCTTGTTAGGGAGGTGCTCTGCTACTTGAGCCATGCTCCAGTCCTTTTTGGTCTCAAGTTCCAGGCTCCTTGTGCTTATGCTTTTGTAGCACACCATCTTGTCCATCTACTGGTCAAGATGGGGTCTTGTGAATTTGCTGTCTTTGCTGGCCTGGTGCTGAAGTCTTTCCTATCTCTGACTCCTGAATAACTAGGACTCAGACTTCTCTTGGATTTAAGTCAGGATCTCCCTGTGTAGGAGACAGTCCTTGAATTCCTGCTTAGCCTCCTTAGTGCTGCTGTTATAGGCATGTACCACCAAGCCTAGCCTAAACCTTTTTTTTCCTTTTGGTCTGTCATGGGGCTTGAACTCTGGGCCTGGGCACTGTCCCTGAGTTCTTCAGCTCAAGGCTAATATTCTACCACTTTGAACCACAGTGCCACTACCAGTTTTCTGGTGGTTAATAAGAGATAAAAGTCTCCTGGTCTTTCTTGCCTGAGCTGGCTTTGAACCCAGATCCTCAGATCTTAGCCTTCTGAGTAGCTAGGATTACAGGTGTGAACCACCGGTTCCTGGCCTAAACTCTTTTAAAGATCTCTCAGCTTTTAAGATCTCAGCTTTGGGCTAAGGGTGTGATTCTATAGTTTCTGTGTTCAAATTGTAGTACCTCAAAAAAAGTAAATAAATAAATATAAAGGTATGTTAATATTGTTAGAATGATACCTAAATATCAAAAACTGAATTTTAGGGAGAAACACACCTTCAACCCTTATCAGAAAGTTTAATAATAACCAGTTTTTATGTTTGTTATTAGAATTAAATGAACTAGGTAAAACAAATTACAGACCTTGGCTTATGGAAAGAACTCATTTTAATTTATTCAACAAATATTTAGCACTCATTGTGAACACTTTGCTTAATTGAGACATAGTATTGACTAATAAACCCTTTGCCACATGGAGCTTACCTTCTAGTTGGAGACTATATCATTAAAAAACTAATTTCTGTGATTTTGTTGACAAAGAGCTATAAAATCATGTATGTACACATGGGTATGTACATTAGAGTGAACTTGGGCCTTGCTTTCCATCAGCTTTCTTGCTCACAGCTGCTGCTCTATCACTGGAGCCATAACTCTAGTGCTGCATTTTACTAGTTAATTGGAGACAGAGTCTCAAAGACTTTTCTACCGAGGCTATCTTTGAACTGATACCCTCCAGTACTCATCCTCCTGAATAGCTAGGATTATAGGTGTGAGTTACCAGTTTCCAGCCTATAAAATTCTTGAAATTTTCTGAGTTATAATTCACAAGCCCCTATTGATCACATCTGTGTTTTTTATATTATGGTAACTTTTTATACTCCCTAAATGCCAGTGTAGGGATTCCTGTGTAATCACTTGGAAAACAGTGATTACAGAATGTACTTTTATTCCCACCTCTC